GATACTGGAAATCTGGGTCCTGTTTTAGTTGGTCAAAATTGAGAACTATAAAGTCTATGGCTTCAACGTGTTGTTTGTTTTTTGTTTTTTGTGGTGTTCTGATATTACTCTGTGCGTCTTTCAGCGCAGCGCTGGAAGTTCTGGCGTATCGCAAATGTGGTTTATATGCTGAAAGGCGTGTGTTCATTATGCTTTTAGTACATAATGCCCATAATGCTATCACATAATGATGATCCTGTACACCTTGCCCTAGTGAGACCCTAATACTGCTGACTTCTCAGGACCTTCATTAATACAGCATAATCTAAATCCTTCAAATTATCAAGGGTCTTGCCATTAACTCAAATCGTCATGCCTCCCTTCAAGAAGTGCCCAGGCCAGGGAAAGTTACTTATTCAGACATTAGTGTATGTAATCTACTAATATTTGTGTTTCAGTATGTGTGAATCAAGAAGATGTATTACCCTAAGACTTGCATCATTTAGCTATGGTGTTGATTATTTAATGCTGGCTCTTTCAATAAGTAAGTAGCTTTTAAAAGCAAAGACCTGGAGAGGGAAGAAGCCAGAGATGAAATTCTGGCAATATGTCACCTCCTGGAAGAGGCATTTTCTTGCCTGTCTTCACCTATGCCACATGAGAGGGAAATTAAGAAAACAAGCACTGTAGAAATTGAGTAAAAAGTTACAATGAAAGGGAAGAGTAAGACATGCCTCTTAGTTTTTAAGGCACGTTTTAAATTCAGCCGTATTTGAAATTTGGTTAACAGGACCACAACCATTTTTGCTGTTTGCCAATTCTCAAGATATTCGACACATGCATTTTGATGGAACAGACTATGGAACTCTGCTCAGCCAGCAGATGGGAATGGTTTATGCCCTAGATCATGACCCTGTGGAAAATAAGGTATGGTTTTGTTGCTTGAACAGATGTGGACATGCTTTAAGGACAGAGTAGAGGATTTTATACTAACAAATGACCTGACCTACTTGAAAATCCTCTGCTAAGCTCTGAATGATTAGGCCCAGAATAAGTTAAATATAGATATTGGAGTAATACTTGAGAAATTTTAAGGACTTTCTTGCTATCATAATGCTACCCTAGTCCTTGCTGTGATTAGCTGTTTTTTTGGAAATGATTACACAGGATTTTCAGTTTAGTTTCCTCTTTGGAGATGAGGATGTGAGACTAGCCCAGTGTCATGCACATAGAAGGAGCTTCATAAGCAGGTTTTTGATTACTTGCTGATAGTGAGAGGAGTGGAAGGTTGGGTTTGGGGCATAGGAAGTATGGATTAGTAATTTGTGTTTTACATATGTCTTCTGGGGGAGGAGATTCAGTGACCTCTTAACCATGAAAATCAGGGAACATAAGTTGTATAGTTCATGTGGGAATGGCAATCTAACTAATAACATTATTTACATAAATATTTTTATGAGTTTTGTATGTAACTTAGAATTTCTATATCAGCTGGCCATTTGATCTCTAATTTCTTAGTTGTATGTGTGCTAGGTTAGAATGTGCTTGAAATGATGTTACAGTGTCTTTTGGAGATTAATCACCCAATGATGATAAATTTATATAGTTATTAATTCCCCTGCATAATTATTTAGTTATTACTATGTGGTACATTAATTCTTTTATTAATAATTTTTTTTACATAATAGCTTTTAAACTTTGGGCTTTTGTTTCTTCCTGATTTGAAGCAGTCTGGTAAATGGCCAAAAGAAACAAAGTGAAGCAAATTGATTCTATATTTAATAGGTATGGATTGGTAGCCGAATAGAAGTGTTTTTGCAAATTAAAATTTTGCAATTGAATGCTAGCAAACAATTCTTTCTTTTCCCTGACCTGAATCTATATGGTTCCATAGAACAGTTACAATAACAGAAAAAAATAATTAATACAAAAAAGGCAGTTCAATATTCATTTATTACCAAACTAGTTTTATTCCTGCAGAATCGGTATTCTTACAACAGGTGAATATGGAGACCTAGAATGAATTTTAAGTCAGGTGGCTGGTTTTTGTTTCTTGGGTTAATTTTCTTATTTTCTTGCTACTCAGATTGTGATCTTTGAGCCAGCAGTGTCAACACCACCTGCAGGTTATTAGAACTGCAGTTCTCCAGGTTCCACACCTGACCACTAAATCAGTATCTGCATTTTAGTAATATTCTCAGGTGATTCTTATGCACATTAGAGTTTGAGAAGCACAGTCCTAGTGGAGTGAAGTACCCCTATTTGTATTTATGAAACATAACCTTTTCTATTTCATTTAGAAAGAAGAGTAACCCATTATTTAACGACTTACCACTTTCTGAATAGTCTCATTATTGATTGTAAGTTTATGTACATATGTGTACTGACAGTTAAAATTCTACAATGCTATCATTAAATTATCAACTGACCCATAGCTCTTTAAATATATATATATATATATATACACAAATTTTTATAGGTTTAGGGGTACAAGTACAGTTTTCTTACATGGATAGATTGTGTAGTGGTGAAGTCTGGACTTTTAATTTACCCATCACCTGACTAGTGAACATTGTACCTATAGGTAGTGTTTCATCTGTTACCCCCCACTGCACCCTCCCACCCTTGCAGTCTCCAATGTCTGTTATTCCACTCTGTATGTCCATGTGTACCCATTGTTTAGCCCCCACATATAAGTGAGAACATGAAATTTTTGATTTTCTATTTGAGTCATTTCACTTAGTATAATGCCTTTGAGTTCCATCCATGTTGCTGCTCATAATAATTTCATTCTTTTTTATGAGCAGTATTCTGTTGTATATATGAGATACATTTTAAAAATCTACTTATCCATTGATGGACACTTAGATTCCATGACTTTGCTATTATGAATAGTGCTGTGATAAACATACAAGTGCAGGTGTCTTTTTGATATAATACTTTCTTTTCCACTGGGTAGATACAGAGTAGTGGGATTGCTGGATTAAAAAGTCATTCTAT